GGGGGGGCGCATCTAACTTGCCTGCCAGAGAGTGTGGATTAACCGCACCTGCCCACTACCCCATCGGGCCCTGGGAGGTCCTTGGATCAACCTGCTCCCTCTCCATCTGGAGAGGACACTGCCAGGACTTGTTTATTTCTGCTCCCCAGTGATATTAAGGGAGTGGGACCCAAGTCCCATGGATGTAATGATTTTATACTTCTTCATAACTCTGGTTATAAATGGGGAGCACGCCCCATAAGGACGGTTGGCCTAGGTGTGGAGATGGACCCTGTAAAGGCTCTAATCACCAGCCTACTCTCCCTCCTGTGTCCCCCCACTTCATTTCTACCCCTTTACTAGGCCATTCACATTGTCCCTCTTCCTTCTCATGTTCTAGGGCACTGGGAGGGGGTGTGAGGAAGGGTGGGAGCAGGGCACCCAGCTCTCTATGCACTGTGTTCTCTCCGTTTCTCCAGAGCATCTGTGATTTGCTGTGTTTCACTGTTGTGGTTTCTGTGGACTGCATCTGATATTTGGCATTTTCTCTCCAGTGCTTCAGAGTAACAGGGACGGGAGAGTTGAGAACCAGGCTCAAAGAAAAGCCCCCCCTTGACCTTAATACTGGGCGAATGGGGGTCCAGTGTCACTGGCAGCCTGATGTCACTTCCTGCCTCTAGAGGGAGTGGTGATTGACATCATTTTCTGCTCCATCCTTATCCCATAGAAAATGACATCAGAAGTCCATCAAACTCCTAGGGCATGGGGACATCTCAGGTTTCTGAACTCCCTGGTTTCTGAAGCCTTTCAGGAGAGGGAATTGTGTTCACAAGACTCAGCCTTCTCTTGCCCCGATTTAACTTACATTTTTCTTTCTGTCTCTCACTAACAGATTCCACCACTTGTAGTTCAGCCAAGTCCAAGGTAAGCAGCAAAGCAATTCTGAAGGGTTTACCCCTATACAAGCCAGGCCACTTTGTTTTTTGGTCAAGGGAAATGGGAGCGTGACAACTGGACCATGAGGAAAGTTGATGGCCCCTGGGAAGGAAGGTGGGAAATACTGAGTGTCCAGAGTAAGCTGAGAAGTTTGCTCACCTTGGCAGTGCTCGGCGAGGCGTCTGATGTGCTAGAAGGATCTGGCCTGGGAATTAGGTGTGCAGGAGACGGTGTTTCTCAGTGGTTAGAAGCACAGGCTCTGGAGTCTGACAGGCGTAGGTTTGGCTCCACCACTTAGTAGTTTTGGGACACTGGGCAAATTATTTAACCTCTTTCTGATCCTCAGCTTCCTCATCTGTTAAAGTGAGATAACAAGAAATATGACTGATATAGTAAATATGTTTTTAGGTTTTTGGAGAGCCCAAAGGAAGTGAAAGAAAGGAAATAATAAAGATAAGAGCAGAAATCAATGAAAATAAAAACAATTCAGATGGTCAGTGAAACCAAAATCTGGTTCTTTGAAAAAAATCAATANTGTGGGCTGGCTGTGTGCTTCGGGGCACGTTCCTCTTTTTAATTTTTCTTCCTTTTCTCCTCACACCCCCACCCTTCCCTCCTCGTGTCCCTGTGCTCTCCTTCCGTCCCCTCCATCCTGCCCCCTCTCTTCTCCCCACCTCGCTCCTCCAGCGGACCTGTTGGAGATTTAAAGGGTACAGTGTGGTGTCCCGGCCTCGGTCACTAACAGTGGCGGGTGATTATTAGAAGGCTGGGCAGGCATGAGGGGCAGGCAGAGATGTCCTGGGCTGTGAGGACACTCTCCCGAATGAGCCACGGGCCGGCCCCAACGAAGAAATTTCTAAGTCCAGATGGTTTCACTGATAAATTCTACCAAATATTTAAGGGATATCTTTTATTTTAAATAACTTATATTTAAAAAACGTAAAAATACATTTTAATTAATTTTTATTTAATTGGTACATGTTAATGTAATTTACATTTTAATTCATTTTTTACACGTTAATATATTTATCTTAAATTATTTAAATATCTTTTAAGGTCCGGCCCGTGGCTCACTCGGGAGAGTGTGGTGCTGATAACACCAAGGCCACGGGTTCGGATCCCATATAGGGATGGCCGGTTTGCTCACTGGGTGAGCGTGGTGCTGACACCAAGTCAAGGGTTAAGATCCCCTTACCGGTCATCTTTAAAAAAAATAATAATAAATAAATATCTTTTAAATAATTATTTAAGAAGTGATACCAATTTTCCACAGTCTCTTCCAGAAAATGGAAGAGGAAGGGACACTTTCCGACTCATTGTATGAGGCCGGCGCCCCCTGGCCTCATAAAGTAAACCTGGCGGTGCCTCTGGAAGAGTGAGGGTCAGTTCTCGTGGTCGTCCCACAGACACTCGCCGCTCATCCGCCGTGTATCAGGGCTGTGCTGGGCACTGAGGGTGTCG